CTCGCGGTGCCCTGGGGGCTACGATCTGCGCAACTGTCGCCACTTTCGTGGGCTCCTGGGAGGCCCAGCGGAGGTGGGTCCCACGCGGATCACCTCGAGATTCGCGGTGCCCTGGGGGCTGCGATCTGCGCAACTGTCGCCGCTTTCGTGGGCTCCTGGGAGGCCCAGCGGAGGTGGGTCCCACGCGGATCACCTCGGGACCTCGCCGCCCCCTGGGGGGCTTGCGATCTGCGCAATTGTCGCCACTTTCGTGGGCTCTGGGAGGCCAGCGGAGGTTCACCTCGGGAGGCGGCTTCGTGGGCTCCTGGGAGGCCCAGCGCGCGGATCACCTCGGGACCTCGCCGCCCTGGGGGGCTTGCGATCTGCGCAACTGTCGCCACTTTCGTGGGCTCCTGGGAGGCCCAGCGGAGGTGGGTCCCACGCGGATCACCTCGGGACCTCGCCGCCCCCTGGGGGGCTTGCGATCTGCGCAACTGTCGCCACTTTCGTGGGCTCCTGGGAGGCCCAGCGGAGGTGGGTCCAACGCGGATCACCTCGGGACCTCGCCGCCCCCTGGGGGGCTTGCGATCTGCGCAATTGTCGCCGCTTTCGTGGGCTCCTGGGAGGCCCAGCGGAGGTGGGTCCCACGCGGATCACCTCGGGACCTCGCCGCCCCCTGGGGGGCTTGCGATCTGCGCAATTGTCGCCACTTTCGTGGGCTCCTGGGAGGCCCAGCGGAGGTACGTCCCACGTGGATCATTCGGAGGTACGTCATACGCGTTTCTTTCAACGCCCCTGTGTTTCCACTTTGTATAGTTGCCGTTCCTCTTCTTGCTGCGTTCTTCTGAAATCACTGTTGGGTGCTCTTCTTGCGCACTGCGGGTCCTTCAGAATGCCAGCCAGCATTGAGTGGTCCTGAGTATAATCGCCACATGTATAGAAAGGGTTGGGTACGTCACAAGATAATTTTGACCCCAGCGTCTTCTAAGATCCTGGCGTCGCAATTTTTCACGCCAGGCGTTTATGCCTGGATTCGGGTCCCGAAACCCTGACAGATCGATCCAGCTCGAGATGCCGCAGGAAGATGGGGTATAGGGTCTAGGGCCCTGGTCGTGATTTTTCACGACGTTGCATTGTCGTCGCGACTTCGGGTCTCACGGCCCTCCCTACATTTTCATCCCCCCTGGGGCCTTCCTGGAGCTCCAGGACCATCTGACATGGACCTGGGCGAGATTCTGTTGGCTATGTGTGCACGGGGTCTCAACCTGCCAGAGCCCGACGCGACGCAAGAACTTGGGCGGCCGGGATCGCTCAGGAAGGCGGGGTGGGACTGTATTGCGTGCGACTGTATTGCTCTGGGTGTCCAGCGGCGCGGGGACGTTGCGACAGCTGCACGCTTGGCGGCACCCGTGGGAGGGGCAATCCCCAGTGGAATCAGCACAAGGGGGCGTTGCGCAGGAACGCTGCGGCAGCTGCAGGTTTGGCAGCACCCCGAAAGGGAGACCTGCCCCAGTGGCCACTCCATCGCCCCCCCAGGGGCGCAGGAAAGCGCTCATTGCTGCACGCTGGACACCTCCCATCGGGGGCGAGGCCTGCTGGGACCTTTGTCGAGGAGCGCTCCGCTGACCCCCTTCCCGGGCTGGCCGCTCGTGTGCGCGCGCGCGCGGCGTGCTCGCTCCCGCTCAGCTCGCGGCCGTCTTCTTGCGGGCGGGCGCGGTCGTGCCGGAGCGGAAGCCGTTCTTGAAGCGGCGGGGCATGGTCTTCAGGTGCTTCATGCGGCCGGTGCCCGGCGCGCGGCGGCGCTTGGACTTCTTGGACCACTCGTAGCTGCGGATCTTGGCGGCGGGGTAGCCGCAGGCCGCGCAGCGCTTCTTCTGCAGGTGGAAGGAGCGCTTGCCGCAGCGCGGGCAGAGGCCGTGGCTCTTCTTGTGCTTCTTGCCCATGGCCGGGGTGCCGTCGCCGCCGCCGCCGAGGCGGGCCACGGCGAAGAGCGTCGACCCGTCCTGGACGCCGCAGGCCGCGAGGGTGCTGTCGGCGCTGAGGTCCTGGCCCGCGAAGACGAGCGCCTGCTGGCCGAGGCTGCCCACCAGGTCGCCCTCCGCGGCCTCGAGGGGCACGGTGATGCCCTCGAGCGTCCGCACGAAGAGCTGCATGGTGGCCGGGCGGCTGCCTGGGCCTGCCAGCACGTCGGGTCGAACTCCACACTCTCCGCAGCTCAGTCTTGAGTCAAAGCGGCTGCCCGTCGCTCGGGAGAGATGTGCTGGGAAGCATGGGGCAGGAAGGCATTGAAGACCCCTCCAGCCCTCTGGGCGTGAGTGGCTCAGAGCGTTCCTTCTTCCACCCCCCTTCTTCCCCTTCGACGAGGAGTTGACCCCTCCCCCTACTCCCTCCCCCTAGACGGGGGGATTTGCGACCCATCAGAGCGTCCAAGAAGGCCTCGGCGAAAATGCACAACACGTTGATTTTACAAAGGCTTTGGGCTTCCTTGAGGGGGGGGGAATGGAATATGGTCCCCCCCCTTCTTTGCCCGAAGATGGCCCCCAAGGCTCCCAAGGGTGCCCCAAGATGGCCCCAAGATGGCTCCCAAGGGAGCCCCAAGAGACTCTCCCAGAGACTCCACGAGGCCTCTGGAACCGCCAAGAAGCCCCCAAGACGCTCCGATAGGACCCCAAGAAACTCTCTCGAGACATCCGAAGAGAATCCGAACAACATCCGCGACACCTCTGGCCTTTCTGCTGGCTGTCCTCCGACTCCTCCGTTTCCTCATCCGCCTGTTCCGCCCTCATCCCCCCTCCCTCCTCCCCCTCCCCCTCCCGCTCCCCCGCCTCCTGCTCCTCCTCCGAATCCTCCTCCATCCTCCCCCTCTTGGGGTACGGTGGCTTCCCCAGCCTTTTATTCCACTGCATGCTCCTCCACATCCCTGATCAGGGCAACTCGCCTGGGCATCGTTTCTGGGCTGGTGGGCTACGCAAAGCGTCTAGAATGTCTCAAGTTTTTTCCAGCCCCCTGAAACAAAAGGAAGAACAACAACCACTCGACCCTTGAAATCAGAAAACGCCTTACATAGATCGGGACCTGGGATCCCCAAATACCTACTTTCAACGAACGATGAATACGGAAGGGGGAGGACTCAACCAGGTGGGGTTCGGAATAACGAATGTGATATGCGGAAGCGAGACAGCGCTCCAACTTGTACTCGTGTCCTTTCGGTTTCTCCTCGTCTTTCTCCTCCCTGTCCTTCGGCTTTCTCCCCCCCCTCCCTCCGAACCTCCCTCCATCTCTGCCTCGGGTCCTGTCTCCCTCCTTCCCTCCTGCCCGCCCGCTCGCCTCTTTCCCATCCTCCTCGTCCTGCGGCTCAATCTCCTGCACATCCTCCCCTTCTCCTTCCTCCTGCTGCTGCTCCTGTTGTCATTTCCTGCCCCCTCCTCTTCTTCCTCCTCCACTTCCTCCTGCTCTTGCTCACCCTCGTCATTCTCCTTCTCTTTCTTCCTCCTGGTCCTCATTCTCGCCCCACTTTCTCCTCCGTGCCCTCATCCTGGAGGTCGGTGCAACGAGCTGTGAGACGGGCGGAGGAGCACCTAGACCAGAAGGAGCATGTCCATATCAACCGAGCAAGCTTGCGAACATGGAGAGGGGAACTCTCTCGGCATTCTCCGCCGATGTCCCAGAGCCAAAGAACGCAAAACTCTCTTCTGCAATGCCTCCAGTGTGCCGGCCTCGGTCGCGCGACACAGCTGGCACCAAACACGCGTGGAACTTTTACTAAAATGGTGGAAGACTCGCGGGAGCCATACCGCTACAACTTAGCATTGACGTCGAAACATTGCTCAGGGTTGAATTCGAAAGCCAATCGAAACAATGTACGTGGACCCAGCACAATGACTTTGTGCATTCTGTAGGATGCGAATATGGGGGGCAGTCTATGGGGCCGCCTGTCGAGTGGGACCCTATCGTATGAACCTCTATCGTGTTGGGACCTGCCGTGTGGGAGCATCTCGCGTGGAAGCCTACTGTGTTGGACCTTATCGTGCGGGACCTTGCTGTGTGGAACCCTATCACGTTTGGGACATTCTCGTGCGGTGAATGATTCCATCGTGTTGGGCCGTAGCGTGTGGGACGCTCGTGTATGGGACTCTGTCGTGTGGAGCTTTGTCGTGTGGCATCGTAACGTGTGGGGCCGCGTCGCATGCGACCCTATCTTGTGGGAGCCCATCGCATGGGACACTATCGAGTGGGACACTGTCGTGTGGGACCTCGTGGCGTGGAAACCTACCAAAGGTGAGACCTGATCGTGCGGTGTATGACCCCATCTTGTGGGACCCGTGTGGGACCGTACCATGCAGGACCCTCTCGTGTGCGACCCAGTCTTGAAAGACCTGTCCGCGTGGGATCAAATCGTGCGGTACCCTCTTGTGTTGGAGCCCAGGTATCGTGTGCGGCCCTATCATGTGGTGCCCTACCCTGCGGGACACTATCGGGTGGGGCCCTATCGTGTGGGCGTCGCGCACCGCCAGACATCCATGAAACTTGTGTATTCGAAACCAACCAAAAAGCGGCCATGACGCCGTGCACCGCCTCGCACCGCTGAACTTCCGCCAGCCCGATCCAATTCGGAGGGGACTGAGAGGAAACCATCACAACCCGCACCGCCAGAGACTCCGCCAACCAGGGTCGATCGGGTACGATACGGTGAAGAGACCCTGAGTGCAACCACTGCTTGGGGAATTCACAAGCGCAGCGGAGGAAGGATGAGAAAGGATGAGGAGGACGGGGGATGAGTACGGCTGGATCTAGGACAGAATATCATCCTTCAAGAGCATGAGGCCCTCCGCCAGCCAAACTGAAGAACATTCGAGGGCACCTTCACCCAGGATGCACAAGAGCATCCAACAAACACGGAGAACATCAGGGCACCCTCCCCGAACCGACCTCGATCTTATGCCTCGGTCCGACCGTATGGGGAGATGGCGGAGGAGTGCCCCCCCCCCAACAGGCGGGCGGGTCGGGCCGCCGCGGCACGCCTGGCGGACACTGCCCCGCCGCGCAGTGGAGGCACATGATGCGGAGCACTCCTGGCAGGGCGAGCGGCGGAAGATGACGGGGGACGGGCTCCTCGCTCCACAGTCCCGGTGTGCAGCAACGCGCATGGCTTCCACCTGGAATCCAACGCCAGAGGAAGGGAAGGCAGATGAGCAGAAGGGGCAGGACGAACAGGAGGAGGGAGAGAGGGAGATGAGCAGAACGAGGACGAGGATGACGACGAGGAGGATGATGAGGGGCAAGACGAGGAAAGCTACCTTCCGCTGCCCCCCCCCCTGGGGCTCCGGGCGCGACCATCACCGCCATACCCGCCCACACCGCGCAGCCGAGCCAATGCCGGTGCTGCCACGCGTAGGCTGCCGTGAACACGGGCACGGCGACGGCGCCGGCGCTGCCAGCGAACTGCAGAACGGTCACCGCGGTCACCTGAGGGGCAACATTACGGCCATGAACTTTTGCGTACTGTGTTGCCGCGACGGTCCTGATAACACGCCATGCCCTGCAAGCGGATAGCGGTCGTTCCGCTCCGCAGGGCGGGAGGCTGGGAAAGGCTCATCGGGACATGGACGCTTGGAGATTCGGACGTGGTCAGCATGTTGCGTCAAAGCGTGGTTGGCAAGAACTGGCGACGAGACACGCTAAGAAAACGTTCATGACCGTAGGCTCAGGGGGAGGACGCATCGTTGCCCATGCGTCGCCGATACGGGGCCGATGGCCCACACCACCCAGGAACGCGCGGTTTCGCTGTCGGGGGCCTGTCGCCGATCCATCGGCGATGTATCGCCGATTCGAGTTCGATCTTCCCCCCGCCACACCACTGAGCAAGCCCTCCCCGCTGTTTCCCACTCACGGGGGGGGGGCTTCAAGGGACGGTTTTGAGCGGATTGCGGGGTCCGCAAGAACCCGAAGGCCGACGTCTGGGAACAATTGCAACATCGATGGGAACCGCGATTGGGAGCCCTGGACCACGTCTTCCTTCGGCAGTGCAGTCAACACCTTTTGCTTAGCGTGTCGCGGCGGCGGCCCCGGCGACATGCTATGCCTTGCAAACGGATGGCGTGTCGCTCCGCTCCGCGGGGCAGGAGGCCCGGAAAGGCTCGGGACATTGGTGCTTGGAAACGGCGACGTGGGTAGCGTGTCGCTCCGAAGCGTGCGTGGTGGGCCAGAACCAGAGGAGCGACACTCTACGCAGAAGTTCCCGACCGCATCGCCGATCCCCGCTCGATGTCCCCCCTGGGCCAGGTCCCCCCCGACTTTGCCCCTGGTCACCGCGGCGCGGGCGAGGGCGCCGAAGCACCCCGAGGCGGCCGAGACGCCCGCCGCTGGGAGCCGCGAGCGGGTTTTTCTGCGGGCCCTGGAGGGGGCCTCGAGGATCGCAGAGGAGGCTTGATGATCAAGGAGGAGGAGGAGGAGGAGGAGGAGGAGGAGGAGGAGGAGGAGGAGGAGGAGGAGGATGTCGACAGCTACACGTCATGAACGCGAGTGCTGCTATTCTCTTTCCCCAGGCTCTGCCTGGAAGGTACTCAGCCCTCTTCGCGAACTGCTTTTTCACACGGAAGGTTTCAACATTGTTTTTTCTCCCAACACTTGTGCGTTGGGTTCTTGTTTTGAACAGAGCGCTGCTCGCGCGTCTCCCTCCTCCATTCCTTTTCCTTATATATAACTTCTCCCTGACGCATCCAGTTTTTAGAGCGGGCCGGGCGTTTCGCCTGAGACGTCCTCACCATTTATGACCCTGAAGCTTAAAAAGTGACAACAGTTTCACATATGGAAAGCGGGTGGTTTTCAACATGTAGCTCTCGCCTTAGCGCCGCGCACATCCGTCTGTAACAAATGCAGGAGGTTCACGGATTCAGGGCGGGTGGTTCTCAAAATGTGGCTCTCGCCTCAGCGCCGCGCACCTCCATTTTAGAAATTTGCAAAAGTTTCACGGATTGAGGGCGGGTGGTTTCCAACATGTGGCTCTCGCCTTAGCGCCGCGTACATTCGCTTTAGGTATCTGCAAGACTTTCAAGGATTCAGGGCGGTTGGTTTTCAACATGTGGCTCTCGCCTCAGCGCCGCGCACCTCCGTTTTAGAAATTTGCAAAAGTTTCACGGATTGAGGGCGGGTCGTTTTCAACATGTGGCTCTCGCCTCAGCGCCGCGCACATTTGTTTTAAGCATCTGCAAGAGTTTCACGGATTCAGGGCGGGTGGTTTTCAACATGTGGCTCTCGCCTTAGCGCCGCGCACCTCCGTCTTAAACATTTGCAAGAGTTTCACGGGCTCCTATGACCAACGTGCCAGAACTGGTGTTTTGGAATGGCTCGAGATTATGCGGGCGCTACAATTATGTTCATTCGCTGTTCTGAAGTTCCCAAAAAGGCGTTCGGGCACGATTCTGGATCGTCAAGACGCAGCAGTCAGATTGATACGCGGCGTTGAAATCCCGAGAGCAATGTGTTGGCACGCTTCAGGATCTTCAAACTGTTGTCTTCCAACGAGGCAGTTCCTTCAACGGAAATGAACCGTTGTAGGGGCCTGTGAAGAGGGAGCTTGGAGGGAGGGTTAGTCCCAACATCGTTGATGACTCTTTGGTTTCCACTGGTCTCCTCCTCCTCCTCCTCGTCCACCTCCTCCTCCTCCCCCTCCTCCTCCTCCTCCTCCCCCTGCTCTTACTCCTCCTCTTACTCCTCCTCCTCCTCCTCCTCCCCCTCCTCCTCCTCCTCCTCCTCCTCCTCCTCCTCGCCTCCTACCTCCTTTTTCTCCTACCTCCTTGCCTTCCTTCCTCGTACCTTTTCTACTGGGGGGCTGCGAACCATGCCGCCACTTTCGTGTGCTCCTGTGGGGCGCGGCGGAGGTGAGGGCAGCGGGGATCCCTTTGAGACCTCGCGGCTCCGTCGGGGACTGCGAGCCGCGCAACTGTCGCCATTTTCGTGGGCTCCTGGAAGGCATGGCGGAGGTGAGGGCAGCGGGGATCCCTTTGAGACCTCGCGGCTTCGTCGGGGGCTACGAGCCGCGCAATTGTCGTTATTTTCGTGGGGTCCTGGGAGGCACGGCGGAGGTGAGGGCAGCGAGGATCCCTTTGAGACCTCGCGGCTTCCCCCGAGGCTGCGAGCTCCGCAATTGTCGCCATTTTCGTGGGCTGCTGGGGGCACGGCGGAGGTGAGGGCAATCTGGATCCCTTTGAGACCCGCGGCTCCTCGGGGGCTGCGATCCGCGCAGTTGTCGCCACTTTCGTCGGTTCCTCGGGGGCAAGGCTGAGGTGAAGGCAGCGGGGATCCCTTTGAGACCTCGCGGCTCCGTCGGGGGCTGCGAACTGCGCAACCGTCGCCACTTTAGTGGTCTCCTGGGAGGCACGGTGGAGGTGAGGGCAGCGGGGATCCCCTGAGACCTCGCGGCTCCTCGGGGGCTGCGAGCTGCGCAACTGTCGCCATTTCCGTGGGCTCCTGGGGGTCATGGCGCGGAGGTGAGGACAACGAGGATCCCTTTGAGACCTCGCGGCTCCCTGGGGGGGGCTGCGAACTGGACAGCTGTCGCTACTTCGTGAGCTCCTGGGAGGCAGGGCGAAGGTGAGGGTAACGCGGATGGTTTGAACCATCGCGACTCCGTCGGGGGCGTCGCGAATCATAGGAGCCCTCCCCAAGTGCCTGTCGCCCGCAGCGGCAGCATGGGCGAACCGAACAGACGTAGCGCACGGTGCCGTTACTCTCACCAGTATTTCTTCCCCTTCCTTCTCCATTCTCCTTGTCCTTCCCCCTCTTCCTCCTCCTCTTCCTCTACTTCGGTCCCTCGCTCTATGTTGCGCAGGCTTGCGACGCGCGTGGCCAGACATTGTTGGTCGAAGCCTTTCAGAGTGCCGCATACCACGCAAAGTGTGATTTTGTATGAAGCGTTCATATAATTCATCGCCTCACGTGCAGAACGGGCTGGGCACGTCTCGGGAAATGTATTATGCTTGTTTTTGCAATCCGACTCCTTTCGGTGTTTCAGCGTGGTGCTCCCGCTGCAGCGACGTAGGCCTCATTTTCGGATCGGCGCTTCGCTCCCGTCGTTCAGAACGGCGGTCTCGCCCCAGCACGGGCCACTTTTTTGGACCTTTCATCGTTGTCGCCTCCCCTCATTTCCCGTCCTCCGCCTTCCCCTGGTCCTCCTGCTCCCCCCGCTCCTGCCACTCCAGCTCCTGCTGCTCTTATTCGTCCCCGTCCTCCTCCTGGTTCCTCCTCCTCCCTCTGTGTTGCTCCTCCTCCCGGAACGGGTGCGGAACGAGGCGCGCGACGGGGCCCCGACGGAGCTGGGTCGTAGTGAAGACCGAGCGGCGCCGCACGTGGCGTGCCTGCAGGAGCACAGGCTCAAAAGGACCCCGGACAGGGGCGCGCAGGCCCAAATGGCTGGTGCAATCAGCGCGGGTTTCACCCGGACCCGCGGCTGGCGGCGGCCACAGGGGCAGGGCCGCTGGGGAGTTGCGGAGGAGTGGCATGCCGTCACGGGCCCTCACCCTGGCTGGATTCGACGAGTTTCGGGGACGCGTTGCAGGACGCCGCCTTGGCGTTGGAGTGCCAGGTGGTTTGATTGTACTCAGCGTATATGGGTACGTCGAGATTGGCGCCTCGGGCAAGAATCTCGACCTGCTGGAGGCGCTCGGGGAGTTCCTGCTGGCCCAGCCCTGCCCCTGGGTGGTGCAGGCGGATTGGAACATTGGGCCCTCGGAGTTCCAGCAGCTGGAGTGGCTCGAGCAGGTCAAGGGCAGGATCACGGCCACAGCGGAGGCGGCATGCCACGCCAGGGCGGTGGAGGACATGGAGCAGGACGGGGCGAGAGGCGAGGATGAGGCATAGCCGAGCCACGGGGTCAACGGGGAGCCGTGGGATCGGTCATCGATTAGTTCGCCACCTCCAGGATCCCGTCGTCGTGCGTGGAGGGGGTCAACGTCCTGGATAATGCGCCGTCGTCGCCGCATTGCCCGGTAGGCCTGCGGCTCCGGGGCCTGTCCAGCACCAAACTGATCGCGAAGCAGGTCAGCTACAAGCCATTCCCGATGGAGCCGTGCATCGGCCCACGCAGGGAGGAGGTAGAGGTAGCCTGGAGCTGGGCTGCGGGACGCGACTCGGACATGCCGCTGGCGGAGATGGTCCGAGAATGGTTCGGCCATGCAGAAAGAATGCTCCTGGGCGTCCACGATGTGGGAGACAGGGGCCGCGACAAGTACTTCGGGAGAAACGCTGGCCCGCAGACGCACGTAGTGCCCATGGCTGTTGCATCGGAGCGGGAGCAGCGCAACACGTACACGGCCAACACGACCACTTGGATCTCATTCCAGAATTTGTGCAAACGTCTCCGGCTCATGGGCCAGTCTGGCCCTGGCCGCGCAGCCCGACAGCGACGGCACCGGTGGCGACTCAAACTGCACGATGTGTTGGCCGACATGGAGAACGCGGAGCAGGCAGAGCTCACCGCAGAGCGGCTCGCCCAGCACATCGCCTGCTTGAAGGCGGGGTCCGGCGAGGACGTTGATGAGGTCCAGGAGCACATCGAGGCCGAGGTGGCCAGGCTTCGGGCCAAAGACGCGAAGCGGCAATGCCAGGAATGGAAGGAATGGGTAAGAAGGTCCGTCAAGGGAGGAGGCAAGGCAGCGCAGCGGTATGCTAAGAGGAAATTGCTCAAGCAGGACGCCATGGCAGGGGCGCCAGTGAGCAAGGAGGAGGAGGCGGAGGAGGAGGAGGAGGAGGGGGAGGAGGAGAAGGAGGCGAAGGTGCAGCCGTTGCCGGTCAACGGCATGGAGGCGCTGGATAAGCTCATACAGGATTGGTTGCCGCTCTGGGCCATGGTCGAGGGGAGCAGTCGCCCACGGCTTGGGAAGCAGATGACGTCCTGCCCGACCTGACTCTTGAGGATCTGCGTCGGGCGTGCCGCTGCTATGCGCCTGCGGCAGGGCTGGGGTGGGACCGTTTCCACCCTAGGTGGATCTTAGTTCTTCCGGAATCTGCGCAGCAGATGTTCCTGGACTTCATCTGGCACTTCGAAGAGCAGCCGATCTTGCTCGTGGAGTGGCTCACGAACATCATGTTCCTGGACAAGCCAGAGGGGGTGTTAGGTCCATAGGCATCCTCTCCTTGTTCCCCAAGCTGTTGAGCAAGATGCGGCAAGGAGTCTGCCGGGCGTGAGAGGAGGACCACAAGGAAGACTTCTTTTTGGGCTCGAGCTCGTCCACCCCATGTGAGCGCGCAGGAAGGGTGCACGGCGTGCTCGCGGCGTTCACCGACGCCATCGGGGCCAGCACGGCGACGGTGCTGCTGGACTTGCAGAAGTTCTACGTGTACATCCGCTCGGAGGACCTGCTGGACGCGGCGCGCTGCCACCAGTTCCCCACGCGGCTGCTGCACAGTCTCTGCACCGTTTATGCGGGACCGCGTGCCCTCCTCTACGCCGTAGCCGTGTCAGAGCATGTGAGGGCGAACGGTTCGGTCATCGCGGGGTGCCCAGGGGCCACGACGTAGGCGAAAGTGCTCCTGTTGACGCCGCTTCGCCTGGTCCGAGAACAGCGCCAGCTTCTGCATGTGCGCAATCTGGTAGACGACGTGTCGATACAAGGGCGTGGCAAGGCCCGGGACGTGGCCAGGCAGGTCGGGGCCAGAACCACAGCATTCATGCAAGAGTGCCACCGGCTGCACCTGCCGATAGTGCTCAAGAAGCAGCACTACATGGGCAGCAACCCGACGGTCGAAGCGTTGCTGGAGAAGGAGTGGGCGTTGCGGGCATCGGCGAAGGTAACCCATTGCCGGTTCCTGGACAGCGACTGCACCATGGGCAAGGTGCGCCGAGTGGGCGTGGCGCGGGCCCAGCAGCAGGAGGCGCTGAGGAGAGGCAGGAGGATGAGGAGGTTTAGGGCTGCAGGCGCCGACACTGCACTGGCCCACAGGATGGGCCCGACAGCTCAGACCACTTGGGGATGCGCGGTGGGCGGTGTGAGCAACAGTCCCTTGCATGGGCTGCGGGTTGCGGCCGCTGGCAGCGTCGGGAGACTGCTGCGAGGATGTTCAGTGGGGGTGCAGCTGCGCACTGATCCGGATGCACTGTCGATCCTCTGGTAATCGTCACCCGCCAGACGATCGGCATCTGGGCGCAATCCATCTGGGAACGGCACTCGGCGCCCAGGATAATGCAGGTGCTGCTGAAGCAGGCGGTGACGAAGCTGCAGGCGGCCGACAAGCCGTGGCGGCTGGTGGCGACCCTGGCCGACGCGGCGTTCGAGACGTTGCGGCGCGTAAGGTGGATCTTCCAAAGCTCCGCCACCCTCACGACCGACATGAGTGAGACCATCGACTTGACGGTCACGCCTCCCCGACAGGTGCAGCAGCTGGTTGTGCTCGCCGCAGTCCGGGCTTCGGACTGGATGGCCATGCATGCCCAGGGCAAGACCGTGGGAAGGCGATCCACGGACACAGCAGAGGCCGACGAGTTTTAGACAGGCCCGATATTCTGGTCGGCCCTGAAGCCTCTCCTGCACAGAGACAGGGCTGGCAACGGTTGGAGCCGCCGGAAACAGCGGGCGCTGCGGAGCGTCATGTCGAACTGCCATTTGTGTCAGCAGCGTTTGCATGCGCACGGCCTAGCTCAGAGCGACGGCTGCACTCTATGCCAAGAAGCGCCCGGGTCGCTTTGGCATCGAAGATTCGGCTGCGATGCGTCGTTGGCGGTGCGGCGGGACCTGTGCCCGGCTTGGCTGCAGGAGCGGGCGAGGAGGGTGAGGGAGTGGAGTGCGGAAGCAAGTGAGAAGTTTGCCATGGGCATCGTCCCGGACCCGTTGCACGCGGTCCCTCGCACCGACCTCGGTGAGAGGATCTTCTGGTTCAACCGTCCCCTAGAAGGCAGGCTGTCGGGCTTCTTGTTCACGGACGGCAGTGGCATGTGGCAGGGAACTTGCTTGGCAAGAGCAGGCTGGGCGGTGGTCCAGACAGACCGCTTCGGCAACGTGGAGGCGGCAGCATATGGCCCAGTGCCCATAGCGTGGGCGCCCAGCCAGGCTGCGCGGGACGGGGAAGACTATGCCATCGCTGTGCTGCCCACGGTGGCCATGGCCTACATGTACCTCTATGTCGACTGCCAGGGCACAGTGGACACCCTTGCTCTGGGGCGAGGCCGGGGAACGTGGTCGACCGATCCCCGGCCGCACATGTGGCGATCGTTCTGGCGGGACTTCGACGTCTACGACTTCGGGGTCACCAAGGTGAGCGCGCACACCACCATGGCAGATGTGCAGGCGGGCCGCATTTCTCATTGGGAGCGCAAAGACAATATGGCGGCAGACACCTATGCGAAATACGGGGTGCTGCGGCACGGAATCCACGACAACGACGTGGCGCTGTACAAAGGGCTGGAGGCTCTGGCGCAGCAGACGGCGCGATGGGCGGGGGACCACGAAGCATGGCTGGCCGACAGCGGCTTCCAGGACCACGACGGCCTCCCCACCAGGCAGCCTCCCGGGAGGGAGGGGCCAGCACAGCTGCGCGCAGGGCTGGGCACCGCAGGCGGCGAGGAAGGCGAGGCCGAGGAGAAGCTAATGGTGCAGGAGGTTGAGGAGGGCTGGCCTTGAGCGGGAAGCAGCAGGAGGAGCCACGCAGCCAGGCAACCTGCAACAGCGCAGACCCCAGAGACTCCACAGCTGCCTCCGCGACACTGGGCGGACGACGGGTGGAGCCCCCAGTGGGCGGCGCTGTGAAGAGAGACCTTCGAGTGCGGTGGGCACGCGCTGCTGAAAGCGTAGATTCGCGAGCGTCGGAATCAATGCATTTATTTCTGGATGAGATGTGGGGGATATTTCTCGGGCAGCCGTCCTGGGAAGGCCATGGCCGGGCATTGCAAGAGCAGATCCGCGGGGGCTGGCTTCAGAGACCAGTGGAGAAGGATCGAACTTGGACAATTCCCCAGCTACAGGCCCGCGCTGAAGCAACTCACGCTGGAGACGCCCCGTGCTCTGTCTTCCGAGGAGCGGCAGATGTTCGGTCCCCTGGTGGGTGGCGCACCTGCGACGGCCCCCAGTGCGAGGAGGCCGCAGGAGCGGGCGACGCCAGCTGCCCCCCGCCGAACAGCCCAGACAGCCCAGGAGGCAATGCAATACATCTTCGCCGCGTACGGGCTGCAAGCTGGAGACGATGATCGAGTCCGGGCGCTGGGCAGGAAAGCTGCCGATGACAGCGGCTCAGACGACAGCCGGGGCAGCTCGGACGACGGCTGGTAGGTCTGGGCTGGGGCGGGGGGGAGCGCATTCCCCCTCGCCTCCTCCTTCCTCGTTGCCTCCTCTTCCCTCCTCTGCCCCTCTTCCGAATGCGCTGGGTAGGGAACCTGCTTTCGAGCCGTCGGCGCCCCTCTGCTCCTCCTCCTCCTCCTGTTTCTCCTGCTCACCCACCGCCTCCTCCTCCAATGTGCGCAGCTCCCTCTTTCGATGTCGCATACCACGATGGGGTCCTCCTTGGAATTCTACGTGGGTGGGGGGAACGATCGTTCTCGAAAGGGGGATGTCGCTGGACACCTTGCTCGGTTGTGTGATGATCACGGTTTTCGAACCACTGAGAACGCGCCAGCAGCATGCGAAGTAGTTCCTCTTCAGTAACAAAATCTTCGCTGAAATGGCAGGCCAAACTGGTGATGGTCTTTCACGGGGGCGCTTCCTGCAATGAGATGGACATCTTGTAGGGACGTATGGGGGGGGCTTGGAAGTTGCAGCATCGCTGACGCTTCTTGGATTTACTCTGGTCCTCCTCCTCATCCTCTCGGCGTTTTTCCTCCTCCTCTCGTGTGCGCCAGAGATGGGGGCCAGGACGAAGGGGTCAGAGCATCGTGCCCCGATGCACGTGCGTGGACAAGGGGGGGGAGGAGGGGGCAAGGAACGTTCTGCAAGACGACGAGGGGGGCTTTTGACTCTGTGAGATTTCGTGGCCCTGCCCACGATGCCCACGCCCCCGTGGCCCCCACCCCCCTCCGCCGCCCCCGAACCTTGGCCGCGGGCTGTCTCCTTCGGGTCCCCCGGGGCCAGCAAACGTGGAGCCATGACGGACGCAGCCCGCACCCCAGGCTTCGGGGTCGTGGCCTCGGGGGCCTGCAGACTCGAACAGGGAGACGGTCCACCAGGCCGTCTGGGCCCCCGCGCGAAGGCGCCCCGCCTCCTCCTGCGACAGGCGGCAGCGAGAGACGCCACCGCGGCGGAGAAGAAGAAACCGCATCCTGGGATGGTGGCCGTGGCCCTGAGCGCCGCCATGCCGCTGCTGGGCTGGGCTGCGGTGAAGACCGGCCCCATGAGCGTCATGACCTTGGCGGGTCCAGCCGTGTGGCCGAGCACGCGGGGTCAGGTTGCAAGGGGGGGGGCGTACAGTGGAGGCCAGTCCACAAGAAACCTTCCACAAGAAACCCAACCCTGAGACCCCAGGACGTCCATTGATTTTTGGTGTGGGAGCGTGACGCTTTCCATAGCAACACCATCGAAACCCAAGAATACCCAGGGCGCACTGGAGGCAAGCAGGGTGTTTCTTGGCATGGGCCTCCACTGTGCGAGGAAAACACGATACCGTCAACATTTGCCCCAGGCCGATTCTCAAGCTCCCTCCGCAGAAGCTCCCTTCGCAGACACGGCTGCTGCAGAGGGCTTCCGAGGGCACACATTCTCGAACAGGGTTCGGGAAGAGCAGGTGAGAAGGGAGAGCAGGATGGAAGCGTCAGAAGAGGACGGGGATGGGGAGGACCAGGACTAAGACGATGAGCAGGAGGGGGACGGAGTCGGAGGATGATGATAAGGGAGAAGCGGATCACCAGCAGGTAGAACATGAGCAGGCGGGGGGGGAACATTGAAGGGGCAGGGGGGGGAGCAGGAGGAAGGGGGGGAGGAGGAGGAGGAGGAGGAGGAGGAGGAGGAGGAGGAGGAGAAAGAGGAGGCACCAACATATCGATCTGAATGCGCAGAGCCACGGAAAAGAGAGAGAGAGAGAGAGAGAGCGCGAGCGGAGAAAGGACGAGTACGCACAACTCGACGATTCAACGAGATAATCATAACAACTCGGAGCTATCTGAGACGAAACCAAAATCAAGCATCGTCCGAAGAGAGGAACGGTCGGGGAGAGCCCTTCCGCTCGCTCGCGATAGGGGTCCTTACCCACCTCGAGGGACTTCAAGCACGACGAGTCTTTGCTGGATACAACGCCCTCACAGCGGCCTCAAAGGCGGGAACGGGGGGCCGACGGCTGGGCACTGGCACCGCAACGGTGGCAGAATGCAAGGGCACCAGCAAGACAGACTTGATGTCCACGAGCGCTGTTCGGCCCAACAGGGCCTTGAGCGGGGAGGGGAACGTCTGGGAGGACAGCATCCTTCGCGGACCAGGACCCCCCGCGCCGCGGACCTCCAGAGCTCCGAGCCCTCTCGGACGGCGGGGGCCCGCCAGGGCCGCCAGGCGCGGGGGGGCGGGCGGGGGGCGGGGAGGGGCGGGGGGGGGGGGGGGGGGGAGGGCGGGGCTCCTCGGAGCCCAGGGCGCGCGCGGCCTTGGCCAGCCTGCACGCCACCTCTAGGTCCGAGTCTGTCTGCTCGTCCGACCTGGACCTCGACCGCGTGAAAGCCCGAGACCGCTCAAGGCCCTCGGTCGCCGAGGGCGGCGGCTCCTCTGGATCCTCAGGACCCACGTGGGGCTCAGCAGACCCACAGGCCTCAGAGGGGCCCCCGCAATCCCCCGAGAGGCCAGGAGGAGGAGGAGGAGGAGGAGGAGGAGGAGGAGGAGGAGGAGGAGGAGGAGGAGGAGGAGGAGGAGGAGGAGGAGGCGGAGGAGGAGAGAGGAGGGAGGAGGAGGAGGAGGAGGAGAGGAGGGGAGGAGGAGGAGGATAAGGAGACGACACGCAGCATCATAAGTGTTTCAGGGGAGGAGAAGCAGGATCAGGAGAGGCATTGGGCGGATGATGATGATGCTGCTGCTGATGATGATGATGATGATGATGATGATGAGGAGGAGGAGGAACACGACAGGGGACATATGATGCTGCTGCTGCTGCTGATTATGCTGATGATGCTGAAGATGCTGATGCTTATGCTAATGATGACGATGATGATGCTGTTGATGATGCTGATGATGATGAGGATGCTGATGTTGATGTTGATGCTGATGATGCTGCTGCTGATGATGATGAGGATGGCGATAATGATGCTGCTGCTGATGATGAGGATGCTGACGATGATGATGCTGATGCTGCTGATGATGATAATGATGATGCTGCTGAGGCTGATGACGATGATGCTGCTGCTGCTGATGATGATGATGATGACGACGGGAAAGAGGAGGACGAGGTGGTGGACGGAGGAGGATGAGTAGGACGAGCAGCAGGAACAGGAGGACGCGTGAGGAGCAACAGCAGGAGGATGATAGGAGCAATAATACATAGAACATGCATGCACATGATAATGTGATCAAGACTGTGGTGACGATGAGGATGGTTGTGATGATGAGTAGAACAAGAGGAAGTGTTTGACGCGCCCATCCCACTCGCTTTGATTGGCTATCTGTAAGCGCTCCGTGGCCACCGATTACAAGGACGCCCGACTGGGCAATCGCCAGACCGTTCCGCCATCCTTGGCCGCTGCGCGCGAAATGGGAACATGGAAAACGAGGGGGGAAGGTAGCAGCGCTGGATCCCCCTCCCTGGCGTGCGGAGCGCAGCAGGGGCGGCGCCGGAGACGCGGCCAGGGGGGTCCAACGCCGCGATATGCATCGCCGATGCATGGGCGATGCATCGCCGATGCACTGGCGATGCACCAGCGACGCTGGCGATGCATCGGCGACGTCGGCGTGGAGGAAGTCGAGCTCCACATTGAACCGCATCGGCTATACATCGGCGATGCGGGGCGATCCTCCGATCCCATCTACTCCGACCCTATCTGGGAGGTCTAGAGCGAAGCGCCTCGGCCTGTCCTCCAGATTGAGGGAGGGAACAGAAACAGAAACAGCGGACGAAGCACCACTTTCGGAGGCCCGCGCGAATTCTTGGGATCGGCGCTCGATCCCCACCTTTACATTTGGATCTGCCTTCCTCGAAGGAAGGGTGCGCTGATATGGTGATCTGTGCGGTGATGTGTGAGGTGAAATGGTGATATGGTGATGCGGTGATATGGTAATATGTGCGGTGATATGGTGATATGTGCGGTGATATATGGTGATATGTGCGGTGATATGGTTGCATGCAGATGAAGGGTAGGGTTATGTTTTTTGATGTGTGCGGGGGGAAGGGGCCACGGCCCCGCCATGGAAGAGAGAAGCGGGCCGAGGGAGGGTGAGGCTGGTCAGTTGCAGAGTTCACTGAGGGCAGCCCCGCCCCCTCGGAGGGTTTCGGAAGCTGCTCCGGGGCGCTCCGAGGTTCCGAGGAAAAAACGTAACCATAAGCTTTCGGAGGTCCGCGCACATCTCCTGGACAGGCCCTGGGCCCCCCTCCCTTGCGCGCGGGTGCCGACTATTCTTGCTCCTCGAGAGAAGGAGTGCGCGTGCAGAAGGACGCGAGGATGACACGGTCGGGAACTTATGCTGAGCGTGTCGCGGCGGCGGTCCCAGCGACACGCCATGCTTTGCAAGCGGATAGCGCGTCGCTTTGCTCCGCGTGGCGGAACGCTAAACCACAATTCCTGGGGTGGTGTTTTTGCGTAGTGTTTTTGCGTAGTGTTTGCGCGTTTTTTTTTGTGCGTAGTGAGTTTGCGTAGTGTTCGTGTGTAGTTTTTTGCGTGGTGCATTTGCGTAGTGTTTTCGTGAAGGGTGTTTCGTGAAGGGAAGTCGGATCGAATCGGGACGCGTGTCGGATCGGGCCGCATCGGCACGGATTCGGAATCGAAGCCGACAGGCCGCGCCAGGATGCACAGCACCGTTATGAAAACATCGAACCACAACGGACCGTCAGAATATCGGAATCGAACCAGATCGGGCTGGCCGAAATCGTTAGCGGTTCGGATCGATCGGATCGGCATGGGCTTGGGCTCGTGACCGAAAACACGGCCAACGGCCACCTCCACTCCCAGAGGAACTCGACCATGCACTGCCAGAGGATCTCCAGGTCCTCGGGCGGAGAGGGAGGGCGCGCCCGCGACCAGAGCAGCCAACACGCCCAGCCATTGCAATCGAGACGCCTGGGCGGAACAAGCGCAGTAACCTCACCTTCCTGCTGCAACCTAGCTGCCCACCTGGCCACTGTCATAGACACCTCGCCCAGTCTGTCTCCTTGTGTTTCTCCCCACAGTTCTTCCATCTCCAGCACTTCCCCATTGACTTCCTCTCGATGATATTATAAGGAGCGGGTGTGCGTTGAAGTCCGACAGACGAAGATTATGCCGTGCCTTTCGGCGATAAAGAGTGCCCATCCCGACGCTCCGTACGCTAGGGAATATATGGCTGGTTCCAGAAACTCTGCACCAAATGAACCCGTCGCGATCCCAACTAGGGGAAATCCTATTGCATGGGCGCGTCGCTAGGCGCATCACTTGACATTGCTTGGCATGGGTTGGCATCGCTTGGCATTGCCGAAGAACCCAGGGAACCCGAGGAACCCAAGGAACCCGAAGAACCCAATGAACCCAAGGAGTCCGAAAAACCCGGGGAACCCGAAGAACCGCGGGAACCCGAGGAACCCAAGACACCCGAGGAACCAGAAAAACCCGGGGAACCCGATGAACCCGGGGAACCTCCGAGGAACGGGCAAGCAGCCTCCCGAGGCACCAACCTTTAACCAAGTAGGAACCACTTAGGCAAGCCGAGTTGGGGAACAACTTGCGCCTGCTTCTGCAGGCGGGAGCGGCCTCGTTTTCCTCTGGCCGCCTTCCGCTGGCCTTCCGCCGAGGAAAAGATGGCAACTCCTTCGACCTTCGAAGGCGAGGCCCTTTCTGGAAAGCCTCACATCGGGAGACGCCTTCTTGACACGAGCGTCTATGCTGAGTGAGCGGGCCTCCCACCATGATGATGATGGTGATGACCATGATGATGCTGCGGATGATGATGCTGATGACTATGATGCTGAGGAGGAGGACAAGCAGCAGCCAGCATGAATAGGATGAGGATAAGGAGAAGGCGGAGGATCATCCCACCAACCCTTTGGGCCAAGGTGGTTTAGCGACTTCTTTCTTGCTTCTTCTCAAACCCTCTTCCCTTCGGGGTCCCTCTCCCCTCCCACAGTTGTTTTTGGGGCGGGGCGCGATGTGTCAGATGTTTGTTTTCGGCCAAGGTGGCTCCAAGAGGGCCTCCGATGCTTCAAGATAGCTTCCCATACCGCACAAGATAGCCCAAGGTGGTTCAAGATAGCTTCCGACATACCTCGAAGAGGCCCGACAAGGGCCACAAGACGGGTCCCAGTGCTCTCCGAGCCCCCCCGGATCCCCCCAACAGGCAAACATCCTTCAGAAACCGACGCAACATCAACGATTTGTGGCTTCTCGCCTCAAGATGGCTAAGGAGAGGTCCAAGAGGCCCCCACAACGGCGCCCAAAGCGTCTAAGATCGGCTCAGTAGCGCCCCGAAAGGCGATTTTGATGGCCCCAGAAGGGGGAACGCAAATCGGGACCCCCCCCCTCGTGTGATCGATAGCCTCCCAGATGGCCCTCCAGGGCCCCCGATAGGGCCCGAAAAGAGCTCCAAGAGGGCCCCAAGACTCCCCAAAAGAGCACCAAGAGGACCCCAAGATCCCCCAAACGAATTCCAAGAGGGCTCCAAGAGGCGATTTTGAAGGCTCTGTCCTGGCCCTCGTTGTCCTCCCCCTCCTCTTCCTCCTCCTCCTCCTCCTCCTCCTCCTCCTCCTCCTCCTCCTCCTCCTCCCCCCCCTCCTTGTCCTCCTCGTGCTCGTCCTTGCCCTCCCTCATCGTGTTCCTTTTCCTTTTGCTCCTCTTCCTCGTCGTGGTGGTGGTGGTGGTGGTCGTCGTCGTCGTCCTCCTCCTCCTCCTTCCCTCGCCCCCACGTGGACCCGAGGGATGGCCCGAAGAGGCCCTCCAATGCCACCCCCTTGCTCCTGGAGATCTCTCTGTTCGCCCTGGTTGCCCGCTTTGTTTCATTATATGTGTCTCTTCGTCCCTTTTCCCGTCAGCTCTTATGGGCAGGGTTTCTGAATGGGCTGGTGGGGACACTTTTTCGTTCGCGAGCGCAAGCGGTAGAGCCGCGCGCCGTCGCAAGGGTCAAGCAAGCCTGAAGGCAGCGGCCGAAGACAGAAGCTGCGAGCAAACAACACGCTCAGAGGCCGAAAAAAAACGAAGAGGAAGACAGCCGGGCCCACGTGCGGAGGGGACCTCAGCAACTTGTCCGCGAAGAACTAGGACCAACAACCTTCGCCCCGACGAAATTGCCCTCGCCAAACAAGTCAACGATCAGGGCCGACCGTGGCACACCGACGCCGTCGAAAGTACGGGTCTTGTGGTCTTGTACATCTACCACGTAGCCAACCACACCAAAGAGGCACTGACTCCAAGCAATCAGTCGTCCACTCAGCCAACGTACCACGGATCAACCGACACGCGGGGCGACAGGTGCGGGTCAGAGTAACGCAGTGCAGTCGGGAGCATCTTACAAGGAGAGGCCCTTGTGCTCGCTGTCACTGAGCCAATGTCACAGGATAGCGTTGATGGCCATATAGACACCGCGGACGCAGCAAGGCCGTAGGAGCTAAGGTGACAAGCCCATGCGCCTCCTGCGGGGGGACAGCCGCAGGACGATGGACGGGCCAGACAGCTCGGAAATCATCGATATATCTCCTGGCACGCGCGCCCAGAAGGGAGCGCTGAGGGCCAGGGCCGTACTGTGGGTGGTGTCGCAGCTAACAGCCGCAGGCATGTTGGGTCAAGGGCGGCCCGTGCGCCTCCTGCGGGGGGACAGCCGCGGGAGGAGGACGGGGCAGTCGATCCAGGATGTTCATTGCCAGCTGGCTCCAGCGCCCCGGGGGGAGCGCCGAGGCCACGGACGTACCGTGGGGGCGGTCGTATATCAAGGCAACGTGCGTAGTGCAGTCAGTGAGCCCACGCCCCGCAAGCGGGGGGACAGCCGCAGGAGGGTGGACGGGCCAGAAAGACCAGTCACCGAAATACGGCGAGGCGCCAACGACCGTGGAGGGAGCGATGGTGGCCAGGCCGTACTGTTGAGAGGGGTCGCAGCTAACAGCCGCAGAGGTAGTGAGACCGGCGAGCGGGCCTGTGCACCACCTGCGGGGGGACAGCCGCAGGAGGAAAACGGGCGAGACGGTCCAGTGAATCCATGGCCTGCTGGCCCCAGCGCCCGGGGGGGAGCGCCGAGGGCACGGACGTAGTGTGGGTGGCGCTCGCAGCTAACAGCCGCAGAGCAAGTAGAGACAGGGTGGGCCCAAGCCTCCTGCGAGGGGACACCTACAGGAGGAGGGGCGGCCAGGACGGCGTGGGGGCGGGGGCAAGAGGGCGGGGGCAAGGGGGCGGCAGGGGGGGAGCGGCTAACAGCCGCAGTCGGTGTGAACAGAGGAAGAGGCCGTCAGGGCCATTAATCCGGGTGGCCAATGAGGGCCAAGCACCAGTGTGCAGAGCAGCGCAGGGCTGCAAGAGGTGCCGCAGGGGCTCTAGCAGTGTCGGAGGCCCGCTCGGATGGGGGACCGGTTCCCGAGTCGCCTGCGGCGTGCCAGGGGTGGCGTCAATCATCTAGGGTGAGAGAGGCCGCAAAGTGGCGACCGAGAGGGGACTATAAGGCCTAGGACGAGCCGACAGCCCCAGCTGGGCACGCCCAAGGCGGTATTGACGAACGAGGAGGTGTGCGCAGGAGGAGCTGACCAGCCTTGTTGGCCAGGAGGGATTGGGCTCCGTGCGGCACACTGATGTACAGTGTGGGGCGTTCATGGCCAGGCGAGAATCGTTGCGTGCGCCCGCCTGTGTGGCCTGGGCGGAACTTAGGGGTACACCCAGGGTTGGCGCGAGCCCACGGCCCGTCGGGGTTCCACCGTCCTTGTCCAGCGGGGGTCGCTGTCTTCTCGGGGCTCCTTGCCTTTGGCCTTGCCAGGGGTGCCCTTGGCCCTAGCTCTGTCGCTGAACCGAGCGGGGACTGCACCCCAGTTGACCCCCAGACGGAGCGATTCGTCCATCTTCATGACATCACAACTGTGACTGGTCCATTCTTTGAGGAAGCGCACGCAGGAATCGGGGTCCTGTCTCGTGGGGTCAGCGCAGATGTGGCCCGACCGCGGCGGATGCTTGGTCGTCCACTGGTGCCATACTTCGCTTTGTTTGATTATATGTGCCTCTTCGTCCCTTTTCCCGTCAGCTCTCATGCGCAGGGTTTCTGAATGGGCTGGTGGGGACACGCGAAGCGTGACACATCAGGAGGATTATGAGGATGAGGAGAAGGATGATGAAGATGCTGAGGAGGAGCAGGAGGAGGAACAGAAGGGAGATGATGCAGGGCTTGACAAGTCTCTATGGGTATTCGAAAGTTCTAGGGGGTCTCAGTGACTCCTTGGGAGAAGGGAAGAGGACGAGGAGCAGGAGGAGGAGAGCTGATATGAGGAATGGAAAGGAGCAAGAAGAGGAGGATTTTGCCATCGGTGCCGCCTGGGCGGGCCGATGGCTTCCACTCGGCCATGGAAGGTGGTGGGAACTGCCTGTGACAATAATTGTCCAGCCAATGTGCGCAGAGCTTAGAGGGGTGCTCGCGTTGCCGGCGCGCCCGCGTCTGCTGCGGCACCCGACTGCAGATGCAAACCCAAGTGCAGCGGCCGCAACTTAGCGTGGTGGCCGCAACTTAGCGTGGTCCATTCTGAAGAAGGCGTGGGCACAACTTGCGGCCACCTGATGGTCGCTGCGCACCATGCCGCGCCAGCCGGCTCCGAGAAGATGCTCAGTCATCTCGTGCCTGCTGCAGTGCACGTGGGCTTGGCGGAGAGCATGTGCGTCGACCACGCCGACCAGCGCCTCGTCGGCTGGGTCGACACCCTGCCCGCCCCTACCTTTGCACTCGGCGGCTCGAACCAACATGACGTAGGAGCAGAAGGAAGAACGAGGACTTGGTAGGAGGAGGAGGAGGAGGAGGAGGAGGAGGAGGAGGAGGAGGAGGAGGAGGAGGAGGAGGATC